CTTTTAGAGGATGCTTTTATCCCCTCAGGGGTAAAAAAAAAAAAAAGAGGAGGAGAGGAAGAAAGACAGTGGTTCCTTCAACACTTTGTTAAGTCTGTTAAAAAAAGAACCATTCATAAGCTGAATTTCAAATTGTATGGATACTAGAAGCTCAAAGATCTTAATATTTTTCATTCAAAATTGTACAGATTAAAAACACAGCTTCTTGGGGAGTTTAACTTTTTTGATTAAAGACCTGCTAAAATATAAAATCAGTCAGGCTTCAGTAGACACCTGTGAGATGAGGACATTTAAATGGGTTAATCACCATTAGGTTTGTGAAAAAAAAACACGACTTCTGCAATTAATGAGGAGGAGTTCACTATGTCAGTAAGAACTGTATCGTTTACTGCTCTTTGGAGGCTGTCATCTTGCTTCTTGCTGGAAAATAAGAAACTAAATGGGCTCCTCTCAAGTTCTTTTCTCTTGTAGCCCCCCCACATCCACACATTTGCTGGGAGAATATAAGAATAAAGTGAATGGATGAGTTTGAGGAGATTCCAGTTTATGCTCATCTCCGTCTTCTGTTACCCTCACTCCCGCACCATACATGACATCATGGAAAACTTTGTAAGAGCTTTAGCAGCAGAACAGAAACACTCGGTTGTTCCCTCTGTTTTGAGAGTCTGTGCGGATACATAAGGCTAAAAATATCGATTCAAAACACAGGATTCCATAAATGTTTCCACCTTCAGCGAGTCATGCGAGTGGCATTTGAGTCAGGTTAAATTGGGCTGTGATGCTGAAAAGGAGATATTTCACCATGGACTAATCTTCAGAGGGATTCAATAAAAGGTTCAAACAGCTATGTGGTTACTAGGTGCACGAATGAAACCGACAAACAAGTGTGATTTAGATCTTTTCCATCACTGAATGCCATTTCTGACTAAATGTTATACATACTCAAAGAAAAACAAACATATGTTAAGATATACTGTCTCCTCAAATTAAGAAATTATGTTTTGTCTAGTCTAGTAAAGCAATTGTATAGAATTTAGACTTAAAGCTTTGATTTAATGTTTTACATTTACTCAGACTGTGCTGTCCACTAGCAAAGATCAGAGTAATTTGGTTGGTCACTTAATAAAAAAGGAAAAAGAATGAAGCTCAATTTGGTCCAAGTTTTTTACATTATGGCGCTGTCACAAATTGATGATTTAGACAGCATATGCAGACGTCCAAGAATCTTCTGGCATATGCTAGAACTTATGTCCAACAACAGCCTAACCTATGCTTAACACACGGCCGTATAATGCCCATGATATGTCACAAGCCAGTGTCCTGAGGAGGGCAGTAATGGGCAGTCGCTGTATTAATTAACCTAGCTGCTGTGTACCGCCTGCCAAAATCAAAGAAAAAGAAAGAAAGAAGGTTTGCAGTCGCAGCAGATGCAGTGTCATGTCTGCTAATAAGATTGTTGGTTGTGGCCGTGGGCATGAACGCAGGTAGGATCCATCCCACTCAACTTCACGCTCAACCAACCACTGGAAAAGAGTCAAATTGAAGAGATCATGCTGATGTTGAAGGACAGCCAGTATGGCTATTCCCTTATCAGCCTTGCCGGATCCTCCATCTGTTTTGAAAAGTCTGCTCACTATGAAGTCTGGAGGGGTACTGACAGTTTTCTCCTGTGAACCCCTTTTATCCAAAAGGTATAAAAGGGATAATGCCAATACGCCATTATACAGTAGCAGTAACTTATGGCCCAAGTATGGCATAAGCTGGCATAATTGCCATATGTCGTGTACGTGTGCCAGCGGGCTTCATCATGCTAGCAACTGACACAAAACTTATCCATAACTTTTGACAGATGTTTTCGTACGTCAGCATAGGCTGGGTGGGCCCCATATGAAGTACAACACCCCATCCAGTCCACAATTGCATAGGAGGCACACCAGGAGTCCGTGACGAGCCCCCTGTAAGGTCGGGGGCCCCTAAGCAACTGCAGTCTCTGCTTACCGATAATTACGCCATTGGCTGGCCATATCGTCAAGGTGTGACAGTGCCATTAAAATAAACTTCTTTTATTTTTTTAAAGAAACTTAAGTAAAGAAGTCATATCAGGTGAGTTTCAAAACAAGTCAGGTGAGCTAGCTTAGACTAGCTTAGGCTAGCTCCCCTGGCTAGATTTGATGTGTTATACATTTACTCCCCCCAAAAAATGTAGTTATTAGATTACACTGATTAGACACCTTGTGAAAAAAGTGCATTTGATATTAAGATCCGAATATTTTGCAACAGACATTATAGTTGTGTCTAGCTGTTAACATAAATTATGCATAAAGATCAGTAGATCCCTTTACATACCAATATCTTTTTTTTTTTATGGCGGAATCGTCATGACGTCATGCTTCTGAAGCACATCTATATCAAACACTTTCAACATTACCTATTCCCCATTGTACAATTCAGACTAATAACAAGTTAGTTATCTCACAGCATGAGAGGAAATCTGCCTTGATGAAATGTCCCAAAAGATGGAAGAACTCCTAAATCATCGCTGAGAGAATCGCCTCTACATTATTTTTTTTCAGCTCTGAGAGAAAAAAAGTTTGGGGTTCTTCTAGATTTTCTACAGGCCTTTAAAACAATGTTATAATGCAACCAAACTTCCTTTAACAATTGTGCAACACTTTCTATTTCCTATCCTCAAAATGAAATTCGTAAAAACTGCTTCATCTTTAACAGACAATAAATGGTTGGAAGCTGCACTGTTGTCTTGCAGCAACCGGGTCAAACCCAGGCCCAGGGTCTTTCCGCATTAAATTTGCAGGTCGTCCCTAAGAATTGGTTATTTTTAGGTAGTTTGGCCTCGACCCAAAGTCCAAAATCATAATTGTTTACTTGACAATGGTCTCCTAATTGCCTTAAGGTGAGAGTGTGTGTGCACATGGTTCTGTCCTATCTGTCTTTGTGTCGCCCTGGGATGGACTGTGCAGGGTGTACACTGAAATAGCCCCCCCCCCCCCAGTGTCCACGGTTACAGTGTGTATAGGAAACAAATGGAAGCTATAGTCTGTTCTAAAGTCTCCATCAGATCTCTACTATTCTACTATCAGCATTCTTCAATCTGATAGTAGAATCTGTAAGGATCCCAACAGCAGTGAATTACATTTTCATGTGTTGTTAAAACTTGCCTGCTTGCTTTATAAGGGTTCTTTTGTTATATAAATATCAGTCATTTTATGAGACTATAACATCAACAGGTGAATGCCAGTAGTTATGGCATATACTGCCAGTGACATCAGTGATGTAGATTTGTTGTTTTATGGGCTGCTACATATATATTTTTTTTTTTGCTGCTGCTTGTCGCAACAGAAAGAAAACTGTAAAATAAGTTGTCCAGATACATAGATGCAGCGATATAGTTGGAGCTTTTGAATGATGTGTTTGCAATAGAACGATGACCAGTCATAAACATTTTAGTTGAGTTTTCTATTGGAAATCATACAGACACAAAGCAGTTGAATTTGAGTAGATGTTAGGATTATTGATTGAATTACTTGAGGTACATTTTTAAAATGCAAACTATTGTTTCAGATGAAAAGACGAATTGACAAACTTCAGTGAGTACACCGGAAAAATTGCATATTCTTATATCAGTGTATATTATCTAATTATCTTATTTTAGGAGTAAAAACACTAATTTCATTGGCAAAATATCTCATTTACCTACTCGAATTAAGGGTAAATGCACTTAATTGAAGAAATATTGACTTATTTCTAGATAATTTTTCCAGTGTATTGATATTGGTCGTTGTTTGTTTGCGTGTGTGTCAATTAGAGACTGACATTTTTTCGGGAATCCCATGGGATTCCCGTGGGATGGGAGTCAGTATTAGTAACAATCACGGGATTGGGACGGTACAGGATTAAACATTAACGGGAGCAGGCGGGAGCGGGAGCAAACCAATAGTAACTTCCGCTCTGAGTTTTTCACCCGCGCTCAAAAACAACAAGAATGGGAGTGGTGCAGGAGCGGGAGTCATTCTGAATGGGAGCGGGATGGGAGTGGGAGTAATTTCACCAGCAGTGGGACGGGACAGGATTTAGATTTCTACTCTGGCCCGGGATCGGGACGGGACACCATTTTTTTCTGTGGGAGTGGGACGGGACAGGAGTGAAAATTCACTCCCGTGTCAGTCTCTAAGTGTCAATGCAGGAATAAAACAAATCAAAGCACAAATGTACTTAGGTAAAGCCTGGCATACACTGTACGATATTGTCAATCGTTGCACGCAGCCACAGCTCAAACTGTACAATGAAGTTACAGGGTTTAAAAGTTCAAAGCTCAAGATGTATGTTCACACACTGTATGGCCCAATGCTCTTATGGCAGGGGTCTTCAACGTTTTCCAGGCCAAGGACCCCAAACTGATGGCGAGATAAAGCAGGGACCCCCTAATTATATATATTGTATAAAATAGTGTTCTATCAAACTGATCCTATAGTCACTCTATTACAGATGGAGTAATGTAACTAAAGTAATTTCTCCCTGGGATAATTAAAGTATTTCTGATTCCTGGCTGATGGGACAGGTGTTGTGAATGAAACGGTGCCCAGCTTGAAAGAGCTCCTGTGTGTCGCTGAATGTGTGGATTGATGACTGAAAGACATCTTCTGCCTCCATTTATCTGTTTACTACAGTCTCTTCAATTCATGTTAATGAGGATTTAAATGCATTTCAATTAGTGGGAAAAAATGCAGGAGGGAATATAAAAAAAAGTCTAATCAACCAAAACTTTCGCGACCCCCATGCAGTACCAACAGGGGGTCCGCGACCTCCTAGGGGTCGCGGACCCCCTGTTGAAGGCCTCCGTCTTTTGGGATCTAACTGCTATCACTGTAGGTCCAAAAACCACACGTCTGCTCAGCGCAGAGAGATGGTGCTGGTCTGATTCCTCAATCTGGAAGAAGAAGAACTCCCTTGTTTGCACATGCCCAGGGCTTGAGGTTCTGATAAATCGGCTCGTAGCTCTGCTCCTGCTTCGACAGAATGATTTGGCCTCGAACACCTTATGACGGACAACTGAATTTCAAACATGTTTGAATTCTCCCAACCTTACAATTCCTGAACGGTAGGTGGTTGTCAGAGGCTGATCGCCCCTCGTTACCTCCTCTACACTACACGACGTACGATGAGGCTGAAAAGGGCAAAAAATCCCACAGGATATGTCCAGCTTAAGTAGAATTTTCTCAGCTTTGTTCTCATCTGCTTTATTTTATGATGATTTTATCTTCCGGTACAGATTTTAGATGATTCCTTATTCCTATAATCTTCAAAGATACAGACCCCCAAACACCAGATGTAATTTGGATGTTTGTTTTTAGGCTTAATCTGGTCGGTGTGTTATAGTCTTGATTTAGTCCCAAAATAGTTGTTGAAAATTGGGCTGTTTGGTTGGTCTGATTCTGTCCCACTTTAGTTCAATAATTGACGGTGAAATGATCTGATCAACGACCTGAAAATTACGTTTTTTCACCTTTCTATTTTCAACCAAATGTAGTCATTGTTTGGACATAAATCATGTCATCTTTTCAATGTCTTTTCAACCAATTTTTGCTTGGTGGGAAGAAACGCTGTCTAAACATCTACTAAGATTTTCTGGCGCGAATCATAAATGTTTAAAAGTATGCTAGGAGCAAAGTAGATGTCACACTGCATGTGTGAGACAGTATGGTTTTACAGTTTTTATGATGTTATGATGTTTTCTTAAGTCATTTCTAATCAGTTTGCACAGTGAGCATCCCCATATAATTAATAAAAATTGTTAAAACAGCTTCTGTGCTACATGCTCAGCCTTCCTGTTATCAGCTGAATATGTTTCTCTCTCACAGTCCAAATGCTGCAGACATGTCTCACCAAGTGGTAGAAATGTTTCCATTTTAACTTCTTTTTATATTTCTGTGCTCCTATCTTGACTTGGTTACAATATTCTCACCAACAGTTGTTGTTTCTGAAAACTGACAACACCTCAGAAATGTAGGTTTATTTTGTGCAATTCTGCTCTTCAGATGATTTATTTTAGTATTTTAATGGCATGCTTTCCTAAGTTGACAGTAGAACAATATTTTTTTATGAAACAAAAATACAGGGAGGCTTGAAATTATGTATTCAAATACTTCATGTTTTTTGTAAACTAGAGTAAAATTTAACAGCTGGAAGAACAAAGCTAGTCAAAGGAGAGTTATAATTTACAATACCTGACCTCATAGTAAACCATCTGAGAGGCTACTGGCTGTTTGAAAGAAATTGTCACAAAAAGCATAGACTGTGGCTATTAGGAAAATTAGAAATAATATTGAACTCACCGTTTTTGCCTTTACTTGTCTGTTTCCTTAGTTTGTGATTTGGCCTGTCTGTCTGCTCTCCAGCTTCTCTACCAGCATGTGTGGCCCTCAGTGGGAGACCAGGGTGCTGCCTGTCCTGTGGAGCGTTATTGCAGATCTCTGAGCATTTCACAGCATTCATGCCCCCCCTCACTCCCCACTGGATGACATTTCTTCTTGGGTCACCTCCCTTTAGGAGAGAGAAGGATAGCATGAAGGAAATTGTTGGCCAGACTCTGATCACAGTCTCAATTACAGTAAAACAGCCACTGTTAACTGAGTTCAAAAACAAAACCGCAAAAAAGCACATCTGGATGTCTGAAAAATCTTCTTGATGCTAGAAGCTGGAGAAAAGCCAAGTCATTGTTTACAGAACACAATATATGTCCAGATTTAAGATCGTTTCTTTTCAGAGGCCCATCTCAGCTCAGGCAGACGGCCGGCGTGTTGCTGTTTGTTTATGATCCTTTAAGCTAGCCTTCAGCCAGATGGAGGCATCTCTAAACCAGCTGAAGTTACTCCAGTCATTTGCTGAAGAAAAAGATATATTTGCAAAATTTCAAACAGCACAAAATTGTTAGGAATCGTTTACAAAAGTTAATCCTCCACTTTCTGTTCTCTTAGAATTGGTCAAAGTTAACAAATAACATGTTTCATTTTAAATGCAGCAAAATCTAAATTAAGTTTTGTCCATTTGTCAAAGTTTAATTGTTCAGATTACAAAATATTTCCTCATATAAGAGAAAATAAGCAGAGTAAATACAAAAATCTGCTAATTATGGTTTCCTTCATTATGCAATCCCAGCAAACCTGGCCCTGTGCTGAAATACATTTGTTTCATTGAGAAAACAGTGAAAAACAGTAAAGATCCCAAATCAAGTCAACAATTTAATAAAATATACCTAACAATATTACGTGAATTAGTGAGCTTAGGTTCCCAAACTTTTCAGATTCTTACCCAAAAAAACAAAATCAGAGTTGAATTGTGACCAAAACTAGAGAATACAAAGATTTTAAATGTCTATAATTGGACTTTAGTTGGGAAAAATAAGACCGACCAAACACAGCCCAATTTTCAACAACTATTTCTGGACTAAATCCAGACTATGACAGACCGACCACATTAAGCCTAAAAACAAACATTTAAATTATGTTTAGTGTTTGGGGGTTTGGGACTTAAATTAACCACAGAATGAAGGTACTTCCATGTATAGTGGAATGGGTTGAGAGCCGTAATTGTATATATTTTTTTCATTTTGAAAGAATCCTTAACGTCCATCTTGTTACTGGAGCTGATGGGTGACCTGATGGCCACCCTTTTGGTTTAAAACAGTTCAAACAATCATAGAAATCAAAGTTCTGTACTGATAAACAAGGGCGTAGCTAGGTGGGGGGCCACCCCTACCATTTTTCCTCTAATACAAGATGGTGGCAGCAGTAATACTCTAAGGTGGGATATTTGAAACATTTTCTTTCTTTGTGGTTAATTATACAAATCAATATACTAACATTAAAGATGATAAATACAGAATTCCTGCTCTTTTCAGAACTAGATTTTGTGTTCAATCGGGTTAAGAGAAAATTATGTGTCTCTGCAAGTCCTCTAGGAGTCTTCAGTGAAATAAAAAATAAATAACAACTTACTTAGCAAATAATCAATCTATGTAGATATAAGTGCTTGTAAATGTAGGTTTTATGCATAATATTTATTGATACAAGTAGGTAAGTAATAACAATGATGATTGATTTATGCCCCAGAACTCAAAACTATATCTTTTATCTAGAAATTACGGATGTTTAAATATATGCGTCTATTTGTTAGCAAAGGAAAGTATAGTTAGTCTTAATTTAGAAAATATGGATGTTTTGCTCGTTCATTTTCCTGTTGGAACAGTGTAGATTGACTGTGAGGTTCTGGCGCCTATCAACTTTTGGCCACTCCTCAGTGTAAATTGGTTATTGCCTGGCCACACTTATAAAAAAAATTCTGGCTACGCCTCTGCTGATAAAAGAAAGATAATGCCAGTGGAACCAACTTCTAACACGGAGTCAGAAGTCAGAGAGATAAATATGTCTTTTTTAAAGAGTTTTTTAAAATCATTGGCTGATTTATAAAAACAGGCTGGCAAATATAGCTTTAATTGCTCAAAGATATAAGCCGGGTGAGGCCTTTTGAACGCTTAGTAACCAAAAGAAAATAATCTTAAAATAGATGGGAACAGTGAAGTGAAGTCGGGTTTACCTGTATTTCTATTTACTATTCTTAATTCTTTAATCTCTCTTTGTGAAATCATACAGTATCTTTGCAGAATAATAATAATAATAATTTTGTCCAACCCTGCTAGTCCAACAGTGCTGGATTTCCATATCTGTGAATAATCATCATTGTTAATTTTTAAATAAACAATTTGCCTTTTCTATTTATAATCCTATATCATTCTGAATGTGGATTAAAAAAGCCATAACAAGTACATTTATTGCACCACCAGTTTTCCTACATTTCTTCTTCTAAAGAATGAATCCGACCAAAAATCAAGGGTGGTCTTACAACGTCAATGAGTGTATATTTAATCAGCTTTGACATAGTAACCTAAAGTTATTTATGAGTCCTAAAAAAAGACATATTAAAAGATTAAACCAGACCTGCTAGATGAGGTTTCTCAGAAGATCACCTCCTGGCAGTTATCTGGGATTTGACTCACATTTTCAGGGAAACCGCCCCTAATACACTGCATCTACTCAGGCGATATCTTGACAGATAGATTACATGCTGTGTATCTGAAAGAACAAAAACGGGTTGCACGGCATACTGTACATAAACATTTGCCTGAGTGAGAAATAACAAACCAATGCATTTAGCCTCTGAATTCAGACGACAGTTAATTCAGCCTGTTAAAAGGCCAGAAAGGACTGGGACTCTTCCTCGCAGCATCAGGAGGAACCTCTTTACTGGAGTCTTAACTGATGGGCCTGCTTTGAAAGCCCACCCAGAGACAGATAGGGTCCACTCCGACAATTTATACCACAGGGGACTTAAAATAGGCAGAGATAGGTAAAGGAAAACATTGCCTCAAAGACACCCAAGTCCAGCTTGGTGTTTCATATTAGCTGAGAGCACAACAAGTTATCAGGGAATCTCCTTTTTATGTGACACTAGACTGACCGAAGAAAAATGTTTGGTTGCTGCGTGGCTTCAAGGCAGAAGGGCTCATCTGAAAAAAAAAAAAAAAGCAGGAAAAAGTAACCTGGTCTGTCTTCAAAGAGTCAGGTTTATAATCAGATGCTATCTGGTGAATGGTGCTCTGTATTACAGAGTCAACACAATGAGAGCCAAGACACGTGGACACGTGGCATTAGGAGCTCCATCAAGATGAGCTGATAGCAGATACCTATTAAGAGTTGTCCTCCCATTGATTCGCTCTGATTGGGGGACTTTTTTCTGTTTATCTCCCTGCCTCACTAATGAGTCACAGATTAAGGGGTGGCTGAAAGAACAGGCAGTCACTTATCTGTCGAAGTTCACGGCCCGTCCCATATTTTCTTCATGATGGGGAGGTTAATCTTTATTACATGGCAAGTTTAAATAATTGCTCCCAGACCTTACTTGTGAAAAGTCACAAAAACCTTTTGCAAATGCAGCCATGTTATTCAAATAATTACTTTTGAAATATAGTGATATAATTTCTTTTTGATTCATTTGCTCCTCACTTTGCTGCTTTACATTTTATACAGAAAACTGAGGTTGAATATCGATAAAGTTATTGTTTTACTTTTGTGTGCATCTTCGAGTTTGACATTTTCAAATAGAAAAGGAAACCTATTATATAACTCAAAGCCTGATATTACTGTGACAGGAAATGTGACAGGAAATGACCTAATATTTTAGTATAAAACAAAATTAGCATGAATTTTAAGCATAAATTGTTCTTTTCTCCACAGTCTTGTTGTGTAATTTATTTCTACGATGCATTATTAGGGCCAGGCTAGAGATTTTTTATTTATTTATTATGAGAATAAAGTAATAAAATTACAAGAAAAATTCTTGACATTACGAGAATAAAGTTGAAAACTTACGAGAAAGAATTCATCATATCACAAACCGTTTCAGAAAGAAAGCTTTGAGCTCCGACCAGTAGATGACGGCCGACCAGCTCCACCAATCAGTATATTATGAGGACTTTATTCTCTTAATATTAAAACTTTATTCTTGTAATTTTACGACTTCACTCTCGTAATTTTATGACTATTCTCGTTGTGACTTTATTCTCGCAATTTTATGACTTTATTCTCGTAATGACTTTATTCTTGTAATATTAAGACTTTATTCTTGTAATTTTAGGATATTATTCTCCTATTTTTATAAATTTATTCTCATAATATTACGACTTTATTCACGTAATTTTATGACTATTCTCTTTCCGACTTTATTCTTGTAATTTTAAACTTTATTCTCATAATATTACGACTTTATTCTTCGAAATAAAAACAAATAAAAACTCTAGCCTGACCGTAATACTCTGTTGTATATTTCAATCAAAATCCAAAACAGTTTTTCAATGTTCTGATTTTGATTTATGATTTTATGGCTATTCTCATTACAACTTTCCTCTCATAACATTACAATGTTATTATCATAATTTTACAACTTTATAATATTACGACTTTATTGTAAGTTTATGACTTTATTTTGGTAATTTTATGAGTATTCTCATTGCAACTTTATTCTCGTAATTTTAAGACTTTATTCTCATAATATTATGACTTTATTCTCTAAATAAAAGCAAAAATTGTCTAGCCTGACCATAATACTCCGTCGTGTATTTCTGATTAAATTCCAAAACAACTTTTCAATGTACTGTATTGTCCGGAATATAGAGCGCACCTCACTATAAGCCGTGCCCACTGTTTTTTGAAAACACTGGAAACATACCGGGCTATAAACCGCTGATATCTGCTGAACTGTCTCCCACCAACCAGTAGGGGGAGCTCTACATATCACCAGACTAGAGTAGAGACAAAGACGAATGCTAGCTCCCGTTAGCTTGTTGGCTTGCAGCAGTAAGAGCTTCTAATAAAAGATGGAGTTTTATCAGCTCTTTATTTTAGCTCTGGAGAATTTGAGCCAAATTTCATCATTGTTTTGGCAGCTTTAATGCAGGAAATAAATATTAAAATGTGTGAATTCGGGACATTTGTTCTCTACCGTGCCTACTACTAACATGTTCTTGTGTAAAATGAAAATTAAACCCTTATTTTCTCATTTCCAACTTTTAGTTCCCCCTCTGATGGTTATGAAAAATCCACAGAAAAGCCACACTTTCTTATAAGCCGTTGTGTCAAGCCATGGTTCAAAAAGTAGCGGCTTACAGTCTGGAAACTTTCGTAAAAACAGCTAGATTGTTTTCCCTAGTTTCTCTTGACAAATGTTTGTCCCTAACACCATATGACTGTGGAGAAATGACTCTGCTGCTGCATAATTGTAGTATAAAAGCAGATAAAAAAAACAAAACAAAAACTTTTTTGGAGCTATAAACTCAGATTTTATCTCACAGTAATGTTATGACAGTTACATACTGGTTGAAATATTCAAGAACTGCTTTTTAATTACTTAGGCCTAGAGGCAGGCTACAGAAGTCTACTTCCTATTATAGAATACTTGCGTGTTAACAGTGGCGTTACATAATTCATAAGCAGCCTTGCTTTAATCTAGCTTTTGTTTAATGTCAAGACAAGAGATATCTATGTTTCACACTGAATAACAACGCACTTTCTGTTCGTAGGTTCACACAATAGCTGATCTCCTCATCTGCCCTGCTCTCTCCCTGTGACAAATTATTCATTCAAGCAGTCACCGTCTGGTATGTTTTCTTTCCGTTTTGTGTTCGCCCCCACACTCCTCAGCTGGTGTTTTTTTTTTTTTTTTTGTGAGCGGCCACCAGCTGAGCTGACGCCGAGCCAGATGTAAATGTACAAGGCTTGTAATATTTAACTTGGCATTTGTCCAGGATTTCCAACGGAAGGATCTGAATTTCTACGGCAATCAGTATTTTAATTTTCTGCATAATTAACATTTGTTTTTACTTATTTTAATAAGAGTGTAAAACTTGGTTGTCTTAACACGTACTGTACATTAAGTATTTCCTCCACCTTAATGTTTTTATATTTTTTGTCAAATAACAATCACAAACCTCATAATTTTATAGGGAATTTATAAGACAAATGCAAAGCACTGTACTAATCTAAGGTAGACAGGAATGGAATATTTCATAGGTTTTAAACCATACAAAACTGGAAAGTGTAGCTTGCAAATACATTAAATTATTAGGCCATGAAACCATATCTCAAGCAATGAAATCATAAACTACTGCTCATTCCAAAATAAGACCTAACCATCCACCTAAAATATAAAGTCAGAAAATATGAGCATTGTTCAAGGATCCTTGTCAACTGCAAAGATCTCTAGCTCATGTGAAAAAAACAAAAAAAAACCAAAAAAAAAAAAACATTTAAAATAAGTTGCTTTGGTTAATCTAATGGGGCCAAAATGGGACAAAATCTATAGGAATGCACCTAGAACTACCTGGTTGGTTATCACCCGCTTTTATTGTAAACATACTGCAGGTGTAGTTGAGGTGCATTCACCACAGAGCAGAATCTGTGGTAAATTATGAATAAAATCAGCATGAAAGATATCAAAGCTGAAAATCTCCAATAAAGTCTAAAATAAAAAAAAAAACACCACAGGTTTTTTGCTAACATCAATATCGCACAATTGAGGATACATGAATGAACTCCCAGATGTATTGGTTTGTAGACGTAGCATCAGATTGAAAACAATGTTTTCAGAACAAATGTTCCCTTCATAATGCAAGAACTATCCAAATGTGAGCCAGCCTCTATGAGCTACTCCAACCCTTACAGTATTGTTATTAAACTGTAGTGAAGCAGATTTTACAGAAAAAAATTTAGTATATTACCAAAAAAAAGTGACGATTGTGACTTATAAGTATGTAAACCTTCTGAGACATGAACATTAACATAAACTAACTGCCTTGGCAGGGACAGCTTTAATCAGAATGGAAGCCAGGAGGCTGGAGGAAACTGAAGATCTGCAGGGATCCATAGCTCAGGTGGGAATAATCTGTCAACAAGCCTGCTTGTACACTTTACAATTCTGCTTTTGTGCAGAAATCAACTGCTTTAATTGCCTTTAAACATATCAGTAGCTACTTCAATGGTCTGTTGCATAAAATCCTCCTCAAGATGATTAAACTTAGTTGATTTTATGTGATATAATATGAAAAATGTTGGAATTCACAAAGTCTTTACTGTTCATTATGCTGTTCTAATGTTTGACTTCTTGAGGTTTAACTGACCAATGCTTTTTTTCTGGAATGCTTTTATCTCTGAGGCTTTTCCCCAAGAATGAACCCATCTTCACACCATTATTCGGGCACATGGTAATCTCCAGTAATATCAGCATCCAACAGGGGCTTTTGCATCCTCGCATCTCATGCTGCTATAATCCAATAGCATGATAATACTTAGCAGAGTGGAATGCTGGTTACAGGTGACATGGTGTATTTCAAAAAAGACAATGCGGCTCTGACGGCCAGAAAAATGCCTTTATCCTCCTGTGACTTTGGGAAGCTCAGCTTCAAGTGAAGCCTTTACTCAAGCTGCTGTTGTCTCTGGATCACTTTAAAAAGAAACATGAAAAGCAAAGAACACTGTCTACTTTAGAGCAATCTGTCATTATAGAATGGCAATTTCTTGGTAGAATCGTCTGTTCAAAACGAAAGGCATAAATCAAATGCATTATACAACATGACTTATGTATTCAGTTCAGTTAGCTGTTTTGAATTTTCAAAAACAATGGCCAATTGCAACCCAGCTAATGAATTGCTTGTAAACTTCTGCATAATTTGGTGATTTTGTTTCAGTTTCATTTGACGAACCAAAGAATGTTTATTGTTGCTTCAAAACTGTGGCACTAAGATCAATCAGAGGGGTTACTGAGTTGGTTTTAAACAGCAAATTAAGTAAAACATGGGGCATCCCGGAAGAAAACATGTAAGGCCATGTTCACACTATAAGTCAATCCCGATTTTTTTGTGAGATACAATTTTTTTGTGTGGCTGTTCACATGACCATTTCAAATTGTGGACCTGAAAGGACCTGAATGTTAAAAAAATAATTTAAAAAAGTCACATCAAACCACGGTGGGAGAAGTGACCTTACATTGCAAGCGAGATGAATTGTCGAGGGAATTGTGAATTCAAAAACTCCTAAAATTACATCCTGTCAGAAGCCAACCGATCATTTATCGATGCTACTTTTGCAGCAACAGAGATTTGGATTTCAACCGGCTACCAAGGAGACATGACGCTCCCCAAGTACTGTGGCGTTTGGAGCGGGGTGACAAAAAGCCTTTGCGAAAGCAACCGTAATAAATGAAAATGGAAACAAAAACTATGGTGCACAATTAACATGTATGAATACACCTTTAGAGGCAAAGGTTTACCTTCAAAAACACTGCACTGGACATACACTATGTAAGGTTGTGTGAAGGTATTTAGAGGACTCTAATGCAGAGATGGAACCTGAGGTGGATACTTAAAGATTTAATACAGTTCTAAAGGGCAACAGAAGCAAAAATCAAATGCAGGAGAAAATCCAGGAGACGTCAGGGAAAACACACATGAAGGGCAAAGAAATGACGAAGAACAGACAGGATGAGTATAAATGGTAGACTGAACAAAGGCTACGTTCACACTGCAGCATTAAGTGACCCAAATCCGATTTTTTTTGCCCATATGCGACCTGGATCTGATCTTTTCATGGCAGTCTGAACAACATAGATCGGATTTTTTCCAGTCCGACCCAGGCCACTTGCTTATGTGGTCCTGAATCCGATACGAATCTGATCTTTTCAAATGCGACCTGTGAGTGAATGGCCAGGTCAGATTCATCTGACCTGAACGTCATTAATACCCGACAAAGGTCACTATTCTGGGTCTTGCTACGCAAAAGCGGCAAGAAAAACAACAACCATGGCAGATGACGATGCAGAGAGCAGTATTTATGTTTAACCATATTAAAAAGATTGTGTTTTTATGGTTGGAAAAGACTGCAAGATGAGCGCCGCCACTACCATCCATGTTTACTTCTGGAAAAGAAAAGAGCACGCTGGCCTGTGACGTGATGACGTCCTCTACTGCGCATGCGGGACACTTGCGTTGTATTACTGCAGTCCACACAGGAGATCACATACAAATGGCAGATATTTGGAAATATGAACTGCAACGCAAAAAAATCGGATTTCACAAAAAAATCGGAATTGAGCATTAAGGCCTGCAGTGTGAACGTAGCCAAAGATTAGGCTGATCAGCATATTGGGAACAGGTGTGAACAGAAGAATTTAGAAGGGAGCTAGGAGAAGGAGGCTGACACCACAGGGCAAAAGAGGGTAAACAAGGAATACATAAGAACTCAAGTACAACCAAAACAACTAGAATAGCACAAAATGGAAATAAAACCAATGAAAATCTAAAACGAAAACTAAAACAGAACCAAAAGCATGACACACTCTATGTACACATTATATTCATGTTAGACCAGCCCAGTCATCATACAGGTCACAATCTGTGGCAGGATTCTTTGTCCTGAAACTGCAGCAAAATGTGGCTCAGATAAGTATTTACTCAAAGGGTCCACATATAACACTTTTTAAGTGTATTGTGAAAATATTTAGACTTTGTATTAGTTCCCTTTCACTTTAAAATATCACTCTTCTTTGTGTTGGTTTAGAAAATCCCACCAAAATTCATTGCAGCTTACAATCTTAAGGTGACAAAATGTGGAACAATGTGGATCTGTTTGAATAATTATGCATGGTCTCGCACTCTCTGTCCTCTCCCTAGAGTTTTTATAATTTTTCTTTTTTAAACAAGGATTTGGCAATATGTCAAACATTTGCCATTTTAAAATAAACAATGGCAAGACTATCAGGAAAATATTTACTTCAATCTTTAAAGTGACGGATGGCAACGTTGGTCGCTAAACAGAGTGTCATGAGTGTTTTGGCGTCAGGTGGCACAGTCAGTATAAATACTCTCTATGCACATGTTTATAGGAAATCCCCCATCTGGTTTCAGGGAAAAACAGTCCGACACACTGGTGACCCCTGGATGTTTTGTTTTTTTCTAATGGAAAATATAACAGAGCTGGAATAACTGCTTTGCAGTTAAGGCTCAAGTGACAGACAAGACAACAATTTAAAAGAGTGCAGGCTCCACATCCACGAGTCCAGCCCTTTCCCAACCTGTAAACACAGAGCCTTGCTTTTGAAGAACTATCCAGAAAAGCCTAGTGGCCTTTATGTCATTCTGCTTTTATGGGATATAAAGGATAACACCGTTGTCATGCAGTGCAAACTTCAAAGCACAAATGAAGAGTTTAGCAAATATATCTGCAAAAATTATACAGCAACTGTGAAGATGTGATAAAACACTTCACCAGAATCCTTAAGAATATAAACAAATCCATTTGGAACAAACTGGATGATACGCATAGTACACCTTTCAAGGTTCATCTCATTCTGGGATTTATTATGAACTATGTTATGCTGTAACTGCCTGAAACATAGATTTTTTTACCTGTTTTATGGCCAATTTGGTTTAGTCTAGAAGGCCCCTAAAAGCAGCGGGTGATGGCTGATGCTTACACAAAGCTGCCGTGACGTATGGCAGAAAGAGCATTTAACAAAGTCAAAAGGTCAGTTGTTTCAAACATATGATACGTTACAACAACTGGATTTGTGAAGATCTACATGAAAAAAACAACTCCATGAAAGTTTGTTTGGATTAGGCTTAGGTTAATCTAGTTTTTGTGACTGAAAAGCTGGGATGAAGCAACAGATTGAAATTTGTAAGGAAGCTCATCAGTGCCAGTATTTCACGGTATCAAAAAATGTATTTTTGTAAAATATTTATTTTAGTTATAATCAGAATAAAGGAATAAAACCCAAATTCATTCATTTCTGATTGAATTTTTTTTATGTATATATATTTTCTGCAATGGATGTGGAAAATAAAGAGAACTTATAAGGTGCTCCATAAGATAAGATCTAAATAGAATTGTTTTGTCCAACTTGGGAAATGCTTTATGTAGGGGAGCGTATCCCACAGCATAATTCTGGCTAGTTAATGTGGTGAAAAGGGTTAGGTGCAGGCAATCATGAATAAAGAGCTGTTATGGGCTGCAAAAAAAGCATAAGACTGGAGAAAGATTATACTAACCAAGAGGAAAGCAGCAAAAAATATATATATGTCCAAAGCTACAAAGGAATGGTTTAGGTTAGAGCTCTTGAATTCTAATACTCAAGCTCAGCATTCTGCACCTTTAACGGTTAAGTGACCAAAACTCATTCTGGGCATCAGAGCATCTGACTTACACACCAAGTCTATGGTGGACGGCATTAAGCAATGTTGAGAGGTCAGAGCATCCTAGCATATTGGAGTTGGGGTGTCTGAGCTTTTGATGCTGGAGTTCAGAAATCTGAACTTTTGCAGCTTGAGTGTCAAGCAATCATAAAAAGGAATCCAAGACTTTTCCTGTGAATTTGACACTAAATGCAAGCTGGGATCACCCCTGCAGAGCTGTCAGCATATAAAATGTGTTAAATATCACAGGGTTAAACTCCACAGATTTTAAAAAGCCAGGAAAAAGTACAAAGAAAAGACAGAGAGCTCTGATCATTATTAGCTACTCTTTTTGAACTCTAGCAAAAACAGTAAAAATACCTACAGTACATTAACTAAAAAAGTTTAAACCTACTGGCAAAAAATATTTGATTTAATATTCCATATTTACAGGTTTTACCACAAAAACAACAGCAAAAAAACACAAAAACAACGCTTTATATTCACTTTGAGCCGAAGAGCAGTGGAAACTCCCCAACAGCCTCCCCGGCTTCAAAGAGCTTTAACTGGGGACTCCCAGCACTTTTGCCTCCCTGAATGTAGGGGTCTACAGCTCTTATTGTTTTCCAACTCATCAGAAAGAAATCAAGATACTCTTAATTGGAGAAGAGAAAAGCTGCTCAACAATAGGAGCACCAAGTGTTGAA